GTTAAAGAGGTAAGGCAGAGTGCATCCCGACCAATAAACGAGTCCATTCCATATGTGCAACCTAGTCAGGACATCAGGCCAGAGAGACAAGAATCAGACTTGGAGCCTTACCTAAGGATTCACGTAGAGGGAAAGAGAAGTGAAGTTTCTATGACTGTAGAGGGTGAGGAAGTATTGGTTGTACCTAGTCTGCTTCCATGGCTGAGTCCGGAAAAGGGGAAGGGCCTAGTCTTGACTCCAAGAATTGATACCCAACAGCCAGTCCACATGYAGGGAAGTGGCGATTGATAATGATGGAGTCTGATCAGAGAAGGGAGTTGGGTTGTTAGAAAGGAAAAGGAGGAGTTAGAATGGATTTGGGAGCAGATTTGTGCCCTGCTGGAGGAATATAGACAGAAGGAGGAAATGATAGAGGTGTCTCCAAAAAACCCTGAATCAGAGGCAAGAACCAATAGATTGGGTCAGGAATTAGGAAATAAAGGGCAGAATAGGAAGTCGGTGGGAAATAAGGGTAGGAAAAAGAAGAAAAAGTCTGAAGTAGAGAGACTAATAATGGACATTGAAGGGGATATCGAGTTCAGTGGCAGAGGGGAAAGAAAGAAGGGTTCTAAATGAAGGAACACTATATTGGAGGGCTAAATTCTTGAAAGGTAATGAAGATTATAAGCTGCAAAGACCTGATGTTGTGATGTTGCAGGAGACAAAATTAGCTGAATTGGATAGAAGGTGGGTCAGGAGATATGGAAAATAAGAGGGGTAAGATGGTGCTCAGCTCTGTCGTGGGGAGCCTCGGGGGGAATAGTAACTTTGTGGAGGGAGGACTTCGTAGAACCAGTAGAAGAGCTAATAGGAAACTTCACTGTATCCCTAAAATTCAGAATGGTGGAAGATGGATTTATTTGGGTGCTAACAAATGTGTATGGTCCAAATAATCACAGAGAGAGGAATGAGTTATGGGAGGAGCTTCATGGAATTCAAGGTACGTGGGAAGGTCCTTGGTGTTTGGGGGGTGATTTTAATGCAATAAGATTCACATATCAGTCAAATAATCCTAGGCATTACAACTAGTATGAGGAAGTTCAATGACTTCATAAATTCCTATGAGTTACGGGAGCTTCCTTTACTATAGGCTACCTACACTTGGTCCAACTTTCAAGAAAACCCAACCTGCTCAAAGCTTGATAGATTCCTATTTAATGAGGGTTGGGAGAGCCACTAGAGAGGTTTGGTGGCTAAGGCCCTACCTAGGATAACCTCTGATCACTACCCTATAGAAGTAGGACAAGAACCTCTTGGTAATGGACCTAGACCATTCAGGTTTGAAAATATGTGGCTGATACACTTGGACTTCTTGCCTAAGGTTAAGGAATGGTGGAGTGAAGAGATGAGAGAAGTGAAATGGGATGGGGTTAGATTCTACAAAAAAATTAAAAAGGTTGAGAGGCAAAATAAAAGAATTGAATAAAGATCAATTTGGAAGAGTGGAGGAGGTAAAAGTTAGATTATTGGTTCAGATTGAGGAGTTAGATGCAAAAGAATCCCAAGGGATAATGGATGAGAAAGCCAGAGAAATGAGGAGGAAACTGAAAAAGGAGTTAGAGGAGACTTTGTTGAGGGAGGAGATCTCTTGGAGATAAAAATCCAGACATTAGTGGATCATGGAAGGGGATGGGAATACCAAATTCTTTCATGCTTTGGCTAATGGGAGGAGGAAAAATSTGATACTAAAGCTTGAGGTTGATGGTGTGGAGATAACCTCTCAAGAGGAGATTGCCAGTAGGATTGTGGATCACTTCAAATCCATCTTTCAAAGACCCTTAGAGAATTGGTTAATAGTAGGGGTGGAGAATTGGCCAACATTGAACCAAACAGATAAGGGATGGATGGAAAGAATGATTGAGGAAGAGGAAATTGAACGAGCTGTTTTTTCTATGGATTGGGTTAAGGCATCGGGTCCTGACTGATTTACAATGGCATTTTATCAGGACTGTTGGGACATAGTCAAAGAAGACTTAATTGGAGTATTTAGAGAATTTGAGGATAAACATTTTGAGTCCTGGAATCAATGCCACCTTTATAGTCTTAATTCCCAAAAAGAATGATGCCAAACACCCCAAAGATTTTCGGCCAATTAGCCTGGTGACAAGCATCTATAAGATTCTGGCAAAAGTGCTCTCTAGGAGGATCAAAGCAGTTCTCACCTCTCTCGTTAGCCAAGCACAAGGAGCCTTTATACAGGATAGACAAATTATAGATCAGATCCTTATTGCAAATGAGAGTGTGGACGAGATAAGGAAATCGGGCAGGAAAGGATTTGTTTGCAAACTGGACTTGGAGAAAGCCTATGAC